ATCCTGTTCCTGGAGGGCCACTGTCCTGCAGAGTTTAGCAGAGTTTTTGGAGCTAAAGTCTGCAGGATGTTGACCCTCGAGAAACAGGTTTGGACACCCCTGGACAACACAATACACATGAGTGTCAGGATCCTGTCACCAAACCAAGAACAAGACCAACCAAAGTGACAGGACCCTGACAGGAATTAAGAGATACTCACAACTCACAATATATGGTGATTTCGGGGAGAAGTCGGGGTGCAGATGCACGTACGCACAATCTTCCCCTGACTGGGATATATAAAGGGATTTTTGCGCAGGTTCTGGCGTACGTATGGTTTTATAAATCTGAAAACTTTTGTGCGTACGCAAAATCTAGCTTTTGTGCATACGTACACTTTTAGGATGAAATCTACGGAGAGTTTTATAAATGGGACCCCAGGTGTGTCCAAACCTGTTCCTGGAGGGCCACTGTCCTGCAGAGTTTAGCAGAGTTTTTGGAGCTAAAGTCTGCAGGATGTTGACCCTCGAGAAACAGGTTTGGACACCCCTGGACAACACAAATCATTCATGTTAGATGCATCCACCCCTGGACAACACAATACACATGAGTGTCAGGATCCTGTCACCAAACCAAGAACAAGACCAACCAAAGTGACAGGACCCTGACAGGAATTAAGAGATACTCACAACTCACAGTTTAAATGACATACGTCAGAAAAGATTGCCAATTTTGCCTACAAAATGCTATAATCATTGCAACACAGAAAGATAGTTTTAAATGTACAAAAAAAAAACATGAATTCAGAATCTTTTAAATATTCGTTAAAGCAAAGTGTCATCATTCATGTTAGATGCATCAGCAATTTACTTGTATATATTAAGCAAATTCTCATGATTGTTGGCAACTGTGAACACTCCTCATGAACTAAAATCCAATGTAGTTAGGATTTTGAATAAATAGGTACAATGAATATTTTGCATATGTTTATTTATATATTTTTTAATAAACACTAATAGTTGTTTTATTTGGAGTTTTTTCCCCCCCATGATTAACAGTTTCACTGTTTCCATACTTGAGTATACTAAAAGATATACTAAAAGAACTATTAAATGCACCTTTAATGGCCATTAATGAAGAAGGATGCTTGTTGCCCCCATGATGCTTTAGTTAAGGCATCTACCAGCAGGGTCTCAATGATAGAGTGTGGCTCCATCTAAAATTGCATACTTCACTAGAATATAGTAGGCAGAAAAAAGTATGTGAAAAGAACATAATGTCCTAATTCACAGTATTCAAAAAGCAGTAGGCAAAAAGTACCTGGATGACCTACTATTTTCGCTGGTAGTGAAGTCATAGGTAGGTCACATAATAATGACAACATTAGGAAAGTAGTATGTCCAGTTTGCATTCATACTACACAGTAATTTAAAGGAAGTGTCTACTTAGAGAATATGCGATTTTAGAAGCAGCCTCAGAAAAAGGTTTTAATTTATGTCCAGCTGGCTGTTTTTATTTGTCCCGATAGCATCAATGGTCTCAGTGTTTTTTACTGAAACCTTCTGGTGTGGATTCATGGATTTGTTTACTAACGGTTGCCACTTCAGAGTGTTAAAAATATAAATCTCTTGGCTTGCAGTAAAAGCAAATACGTTGATTTTCATTTTCATTTCTTTATGTGTAAAACATTTTTTAGTTGCAAAAAAAAAAATTTGTGGGTGCAAATCTTGAATACAGTTAATGTCGAGACTCCTTAAAATCACAATTTTAAGGGGATGCTTTAATCCTAGGTTAATTTCATGTTAGTCACAAGTAACTCCAGCATGTTGAATGAATGTAGTTTCAAAGAGACTCCAATAGATGGCAGCAAACCAGCATGACTTTATGTACATCAGCTGTTATACTGACACTAGTCTCACAAGTGAATAGTCTCAGGTTGCAAACAGGTTGGAAGTGACAGGAAATTAGCGGGTTCTTACCATTTAACTGAACATTACTCAGTGAAAGGTTCTTTGTTAGGCTGAGACATTGACACTAACTAATTATGCAGGATGACCCACAGCTACAGCAAGTTATTTGCATGGTGAAAACAGAGCGCATTCATGCGCATTCACTCATAAAGTGAATAATTTATTCACTTTTTTGGAAATAAAACTCACAACAGCATAACACAAACCTCAAAAAGCAATCCTCTCCAAAGCAAACCATTTCGGTTTTTAAAGTACTTTTTAAGTACAACACACATAGCCTGCATTTTGTTTCATGTATGAGAAAACAAAATGGGAACCAAATAACTTTGACTTGCAAATGACAAAAAAATAAAAATTAAAAATATTATTACAGCCCACAGTTTCGTCCTGCAACCGTTCATTTAATCTATAAAGTCAATGTCTTTCATGTCACCACAAAATCACCCAGCCACCTGTGCTTGCATTTGTCTCTCATTCTTTGACTTATGTCACATACACTGACACACAGAGAGATACATTCAAAACCCAATTTCCTCATTACATGTTACAGAAGGAAGTGAATGAAAAAGACAAACTCTAGATCAAAGCTCAGTGGACAGCTTGGCTACGAGTGAGGATTTCAAGTAAGTTAAATTTGATTAAGCTTTTAGCTTTTTTTTGTTAATTGCAATTAAGGTTCTATAAACATTGTTAGGTCCATTTGAGGGAAGAGTTTGTAATTTGTTACTTGCATCTTGTTTATATCATGCATTAATTGTTATTTCAGACAGGACATTTGTGATGTTTTACCTCTCAGTGCTAAGGAACTTCCTAAAGTTTTAATGTAATATGTGTAATTACCAAGAAACGGCTTGTGCTTCGTAGAGCATTTTGTGGTTATTTTGTTCTTAATGTCAAATGAACTGAGTAATATATTATTTTTTGTTTGATATGAAAATGCATTTAGTTGCTAATGAACAATTTTTTTGAATGTTTGGCATTATATATAAAAATGTTATAGCGTCAGTATAGGCACAGTGACACTGTCAGTATGATGCCAGTAACATTTGTGTCACAGAAAAGAGCACCTTAAAGTGACCCCTGTGAACAGACCTGACCTTTATTAAAGAGACGCTTTCCATCAGTCATTGAACTTGATCAATGTCACATTATGCAGCTCTCAGCACTGCAAGAGAACGACGGAGATCTGATTTTTCAACAATGTGTTATGCTACAATGATATAACCGTCTGTGGTGTTGTTCAGTCATCTTAGGTCGAAAAATTTCAGGTCTTGAATTTTTACATTTCTTGGCTTCATCGCTCAAAATATTTTCCGATTTTTGCTCATTAACAGTCCGCGCAGCAGCTGACATAGACGGGCAGATGGGATCAGATTAGACTTAATCATCCCTGACTGAAATGGGAATATCGTCACATTATGCAGCTCTCAGCACTGCAAGAGAACGACGGAGATCTGATTTTTCAACAATGTGTTATGCTACAATGATATAACCGTCTGTGGTGTTGTTCAGTCATCTTAGGTCGAAAAATTTCAGGTCTTGAATTTTTACATTTCTTGGCTTCATCGCTCAAAATATTTTCCGATTTTTGCTCATTAACAGTCCGCGCAGCAGCTGACATAGACGGGATCAGATTAGATTTAATCATCCCTGACTGAAATGGGAATATCTTTCTTATGGTTTGTCACCCAGAATGAGGATGTGTGCTGAGTAAAAGAAAAAAAAAAGAACGATAAATAGACATTCTGTTGCTTTCTGTGATAATGTTACATGCAAATATACATTAACTGAAATCACAGCATATTATTGTGGTGATTTTGTCAGATTAAACAGTATTTTAAATGAAAAAATGTGTGTATTAAAATACAATATGTGAGCACAGAAAGTAGGAGAGAAGCAAACCGATGTAAAGAGCTGTTATTTTTAATATATATTTGAGAACATCCGTTTTTGGGTTGTCAAACTGATTCAGTCTGTACTTAGGTCGACTCAGGTGTTGCTTGCACAGGATCCATCTATTGCATGCGCTATTTTTTAAAACAGTTGGTCAGTGTGCACATGCCGACTGATAGCTGTCTTTAGCTGTTTTGTTGCACAGTGATAAGAGAGGATCAAGATAAAAGAAGCCCAATGCACCTTGAGAGTCTCGTGTTCAGTTTCATTCTGTTACGTTCTATTCAGCTCCGTCTTTAAACACAAGAACACATCCTGTGTGACTAGAACTTTTTTTAGTTTTTAGAATATGCTTCCTTTTTTGTTTTTTGAGAGCCATTCTAACATTCTTGGAATTGCTTCTATTTTTGTAACCATAAACTAACGTTGTCAGAATGTTGCAGGTAGGTTTTTGCACAACAATCGAATAAGAACCTAGACAGAATGGCTGCATTTGAAATGGCACACTTCCCTACTACTGTATATAACAGAATGTGAAAAGGGTAGCATGTCCAATTCACGGTATTCATAAAACATTAGGTGAAAATTTCCCAGATAACCTACTACTTTCAATGAGATTTTGAAGTGTACATCCAGTGGACACTTTACTATCCCATGAGGCCACAAGAGAGGATTTGTGAAGTGACCCAACTGACAATGACAATGACAATGTAAGAAATGAAGTACGCCCGGCTCCAATTCATACTACATTCATAAAGTACTATATAAAACATACTTTTTTAACAGTCACCAAGTAATAACTTATTTAAAAGAAGTACCTGCCCAGACAATATGCGATTTCGGATGCATCCACTGTTCTCTAAGGGTTATTTTTAGGTTTTATTTTTATAGTCATAAACTAACCTTCCCAGAACATCGCCTATATATATATATATATATATGACCAGTATGAGAGAGTGAGAGCGATAACACCAAATTTAACACACCTGCTCCCCATACACTAATGAGCTGTGAGATACTGTATATATATATATATATATATATATATAAAACCGCAAACATATACCTTCTCAAAATATTGCACTGAAGTGTGAAGGGTAACTTGTCTATTAGCAAGATATTATATGAATGCAGTTACACCATATTTCACTTGCTGAGCTTTGAGGATAAATAAATTCCTCTCTACAACCTATGGTGACTTTAACCTGTTTCTCTTGTGCATTTATAGATGGAGTCAGCAGTTTCACAAATTCTTCGAACTGCAGCACCACTAACCAGCTTCACCACTGCCCTGGATGACACCACAGAAGCAAACACGACTCGCGCAGAAACAAATGCCTCTTGTGAATTTTCAAAGATCCCCTCTCACCCTGTTTTCATATTTGCATATTCATTACTGTTTCTCGTCAGTCTGGTGCTTAACTGCGTCACAATGCGGGTGTATTTCTGCACCAATCAGCGTGTCCAGTCCAGCGTAACAGTCTACATGAAGAACCTGGCCGCAGCTGACTTCTTCCTTTGCCTTTGTTTGCCTTTGCGCATTGCTAACTATGCCAACAGTTCAGATATAATGCGTGATATTTACTGCAGCTTTGGAGCAACAGCATTCTATATAAACATGTATGCAAGCATCCTCTTCATGGACTTTATTGCTGTAAACAGGTATGCAACTCATGCAAGCACATACTTAAGTTGACCTACTTTACAAGAAATGGGTGTGCAGTATTTTTGTGGATGTGTAATGTACATCAATCCGGTTGTTATCGCAAAATAAACCCTGATTGGATGATCATCATATTGCTATTTCCTACTGACAGAGGGCATCTTGACTGACCGCCAAAACCTTGACCTGAAATCACCTGATTTTAGGGATATGTTAAATATTAAAACATTGGACAAATATTAAAATATTAATATCAGGAAATATGAAATAAACGTATCTGGTATTAGTAGCAAAAGCTGATTCGAATATACAATAAATATTACAATATAGCCTCTGTTACTATATTGCACTGTATACTAAATTGCCATGCATCATCTTGGAAATAAAACTACGTCTTAAATTCTGTATGCAGTCAGTGCACTGTAAAAAAAATAAAAATAAACACAAAAAAACTGTCAAATGCACGGCAGCACAGGGTGCCAAACGTTTATCATTAATGGAAATAATGGTTAAAGATCGTAAAAAAAAAAAAAACGCCAATGAGTGGAAGAAGCAGCTGCCAAACAAAAACGGTAAAAATTAACGTAAATATCCTCATTTATATCCTAATTTTTCAAATAAATGCCAGGAATTTACAGGATTATTTTACAATATATTACTGTAGTCAGAAATGTACTGTGACATCAATATATGCTGGTCATTTTCTTACAAATAATGCAAACATCACAGTCATTAACTGCTCTTGTTTTACTGTGAATTCACATTATAAAGTTGTCTTTAACTGTGCCACTGTGAGAAATTTAGATGTTTACTACTGTAATTGTTTTGAAGTGACCATAATGGTGATTGGTGATCCCATGTTTTTTGACCTTACATATTCATATTCAAATTTATGATCTCATTTGTTAAAATGATGCTAAGCTAGAATTTGAAATAAGCTGATTGCCTGACTTTAAGATAGTCAAACTATTCTTGGCATGAACATGAAGCTTTTATTTTAGCGTTATTTAAGCAAGAAGATTAATCAATATCTTATTTCATTTTCATAACATTTTGTGGATGGATCTTTCACAATAGTGAAGCAACTGCTGGGAAACCACATGCAAAACACAACAATGGTAACACTCAACAAATAAAACCAACACTTGCAACATAAACCAACAACACAAACTGGGATCTCGTCCTTCCGCCGATTTGATGTTCGCTACAATCTAAAAAATGCTGGGTTGTTTCAACCCAACTTTGGGTCAAATATGGACTAACCCAACTTTTGGTTTAAAAGTTTAATGTAAAAATGTAACCCAACAGTTGGGTTAGTCCATATTTGACCCAAAGTTGGGTTGAAACAACCCAGCATTTTTTAGAGTGTACTGTGATAAATATGAACGTAACTTTTTAACATGCAGGGGAAATTCCCAACTTTAAACCATTTACCATTTATGTGCTTACGAATAAATAACGTTGACTCATTAGGTGATTTTTTTCATTAAAATTGTACGGTTTCCTCAATGGAATATTAATTCGAATGCAAGAAGAATACTAGAGAATAGCAATATGGCGGCGTGGTGGACACCACGAGCAATCCAGTTCTCTGTTTTACTGTGTATATACTGTTTATTATCTTATAATGCGTTGCAAAGTATAAAACAATCATACTAGCTAAAAGAGGAATTACACACACCCATACTGAAAGTGCAAATTTTGAAGCAGTTGTGTTTACTTTTAAAAAACGCAAGTAAGAACGTACATAAGAACATTTGGGTTTTTAGTGTGTGCCGTTTATGTTGTACTATAAAATGTCTGAATATTGTCTGTTTACCATATTTACTGTTAAAACATGATAAAAACCCATTGAAAAATCTCTAGAGAACCCATGGTGAAGTAGTCTTCCGTGTGTTGACGTCACGACTGCAAATGAGGCGCAAGATTGCCGCAGCTTCATTCGAAACAAGAGAGAGCGAGTCTGTGGTGTTATAAGAGAGACAAGAGAAAAGCGCTGACCTAAAATACCTGGATGTGCGGCCATTATACAGCATTGCTATTGACGATGGTCATTATCGAGGAATAACGGACCATTATTTTAAGCATGCCCACCCCGCCCCCCACAAAAAAAAAGAAGATTGTTACTTTTTGAATAAGTAATTTGTATTTGTTTATGTATTATGCCGTTATATGAATCTTTTACTCTCACCGCAGGTACCTGAAGATTGTCCGGCCGTTGGAGACTCATGCTCTGCAGACGGTTCGTACCGCTCGACACATTTCCATAGGAACGTGGCTTTCCCTGTTAGCCATGTCTTCCATTTACTTGATCCTCTTCCTCCTGACCTCTTGGGGTAATGTTCACAAGCCTGAGAAACGCGGCTGCGAGGCCTTACACAGTCCCCTGCTCAGTCTGGTCTACAAAGTCACTCACAGTGTGTCTATGGCGCTCTTCACTTTTGTGCTGGTGTCTCTGATTGCTTTGTACTGGGGGACTTTGCAAAAGATCAAACAAGCTCAGTTGTCCACACAGACCACATCCAGAAGCCATAAATTCAGGAAATCGAAGCGCAACATGCTGGTGCTCGTGGTGGTTTTTTGTGTGTGCTTTGTGCCCTACCATTTGGTTAGGCTGCCTTATGCATTCTTCAAACCTCAGACGAAACTCTGCACGGCGCAGGCGTTCTACGTCCTGAAGGAGCTGACTGTCCTGCTATCGGTGCTCAATGCCTGTCTGGATCCACTTATATACTTTATCTTCTGCAAAGCCTTCAGAGCTCAGCTAAGCCTCAGGAAGATGTCAGATTCTCCGAGAGACAGCGACGATAAAAGCCAGCAAAGAAGAATGAGCAACATGTTGAGTTACCTTGAGACAAAGATATCCACGTTACGACGTGGAAGTGTCATTTAATACAAAACTTCCCTGGAGGGATTTCAATTTGTCTTACTAACAACGAAACAAACTGTGCGATGTAGATGACGGCTCATTACATCTAACGCAGTGTAATACATTAACTCATTAGGTTTATTCCTTTTTCTCATGCAACATTTTCTTTTCAGATTCGTTATCACTTGATTACAGCATGCAGATGATCTAACAGTGAATTTGTTGAAAGAAATTCGTTTTGAAGTATCAAACTGATATTTCATGGCCTGTTCTGCCTGACCACCAAACCAGAAACTGGAATTGAGGATATGCTTTCATAAGTTATAGTGCAATCTTATTAATATATGAATAAACAAAACAGAGAATTTATTGTTAATTGTCTGCCTATAGCCAAGCACAGAATCCGTCTATATTCTTAATACTGTGTGTGAATACTGTTTAAAAGTCAATGAACAAGTTTATTTTTTTTTTGAAAGAAATGTACTTTTAATCAGCAAAGATGCATTAAATTGATCAAAGGTCACAGTAAAAACATTTATAATGATACAGAATATTTCTGTTTCAAATAAATGCAGTTCATTTGAACTTTCTATTCAACAAACTTATGTGTGTATTAATGTGTTAATGTGTGTGTGTGTGTGTGTGTGTGTGTATATATATATATATACACACGTCTTAATATTACTGTAATTTTATATTGCTGCTTACTGATCAAATTATTGTAGCCTTGGTAAGCATAAGATTTCTTTAAAAAAAAAAAAGAGAGAGAGAGAGAAAGAAAAAAGAGAAAAAAAGAAAGAAAGATGTGACATATTTATTTTGGACATGCATGTAGCTTGCTATAGCAAAAAATCCAGCATTTAAAATTAAAAATGTCATAATTATAAAATATTAAATTTGCCTTTTTAGCTTAAACGTGTTTTATTGCTGTCTGCTTTAATGCTTTATTGCTGTTTTATTCTGAGAAAAGGAACTGTGCATTAATTTCGTGAACTATGAAGCATTGCTGGGAATTTGTCAAAAACACTAGTTAATTACAGTGGAAAAACACTTTGAAATTACTTCTCTCCTATTTAAATGTCTTGCCCTTTTACTGGAAGTACTGTATTTTTGAGACATTTTCTCTTAAAACGGTAAACCTGAAGTGAACTGATTTGAAATACCTTAATGGTAGCATTACATGTTGTTGACAGTATATCTGGTTGAAGGCCAAACTGGTAATATTGTGCAAAACTGCATCTGAAAAACATCTATTACTGGATTCTCTGTCTGGTGGGTGTGCATTGTTTTGTTTGTGTTTTTTAATGACTTTGTTACTAGTCTACAGACACTCAATTTGATGTTAAATGACACTAACAGTGCAACTTTTATGTCCAACACATCGAATGGAAAGTCAAAGCCCACCTTTTGTCTTTCAAACCAGGAACTTACAGCACAGAGAGCGCATGCAAACGAGAGCCATAAACTAGTGGTTTGTGGTCGTCTACAGACACAGAATCTGGAAAGTTCACGTTTCCGCTGCGTCATTGCACAACATTGTAGGTGTGGTAAATGCTTTCCTCCATTGGCTGGTATAATTGAAACCAAACCAAACGGAAACTGGATTTGTAATGTAGTTGAGGCAGTGAAGAAACTTTCCGAACATGTATCTCAGTAGCTGTTTGGATCGTTCAACAAGACAAATATACAGCTAGAGAGCAGAATCGTATTACTCCAGCGTCTCATGTCTGCTGGAGAAGCCAGTCTGGGCATGCGGTAAGTTATCAAAATCGAATTCTGATACGAGGCACCATTTCTTCCTGAGATTGTACGCATCTGATAATTTGTCTAAAATGTTAATTTGAGGACTGATTTTTGATGTCCTCATGTATAATCAAAATAATGATTATGATATGTACATCCTAGAGAGACAGGTATGGGAAATTACAAATAATGTGCATTATATTAATGAGCAATGTAGGATAACTGAATTATTTTTTTTTTAAAGTAAAATAGAACAGTTTAAAGTAAAATAAATTACTTAGTTCCACCTCTAGTTTATTGTCCAAGAATATCGACGAGTTTCCTTTTTCAGCTCATTAGATGACCACAATCGGACTCACTTCCCTAAAGAGCATATTCAAGGTTTTTCTCATCACCATGTGTAGAATATGCTAACAAAGACCTGTTTTTTTGTCAAAACAATACATAATCTTTGTAAATTCGAATTTAAACGATGAGTTCTGAGGAAAAGACCTTGAATAATTTATTCGTTCTGGTCTGCTTGGAGTCCACCGGTCCACAAAATCCAAACAGATTGTATTGCAGCTGTGGGTTACGTTGAGAAAAATACGGAGTTATGTTTTTCATTTTCGTTTTTGTTCTGAAACGATAATGCGTGTTGTCAGTGACTTGAGGAAGAAGACAAACTAACTATTTGATTTGATTTTGGTATTCAGGGGATAAATTGTGAGCTCTTGAGGGGTCTCTTTATTAGTGAACCAGATGTTGAAAAATGCACAAAAAAAATGTAATTGAAATTATAGCTGATAGTTGTCATATTTATATCACATGAAAAGCATAACATTTATGATTTGTTATCACAAAACCCTGCTAAAATAAAAAAAATATATATACACTTTAAAAACTCTGACTGTCTGTATTATTACTGTGGAATGTGACAGGAGCATGATTTCATTTGCTACCTTTTTATTTGATTTTGCTGATTAATTTGACATTAATTTAACATTTCCTGCAGCAGCTTCACTTGAACTAGAAAAGTTAACGTACTTTAACATGCCTGCTTGAAACTTTGAATATTTGTAAGATTTCTTATGTGAATACACAGTTACAGATTATTTATTTATTTATTTGTTTGTTTGTTTGTTTGTTTGTTTAAATGAAACAAAAAATATATAAATTTAAACGATTAATTTGACATTTATTTAACATTTCCTGCAGCAGCTTCACTTGAACTAGAAAAGTTAACGTACTTTAACATGCCTGCTTGAAACTTTGAATATTTGTAAGATTTCTTATGTGAATACACAGTTACAGATTATTTATTTGTTTGTTTGTTTGTTTGTTTGTTTGCTTGTTTGTTTGCTTGTTTGTTTGTTTAAATGAAACAAAAAATATATAAATTTAAACACTGCTTTTATGAACATTGAGGACAAGATGGTTTACTAGAAAGCAAGTTGACTGCCAGGTGGTATAAATTTATTGGTAGCACTTTACAATAAGATGCCATTAGTTAATGCATTAACTAACATTAGTTATCAATTAGGAGTACATTAGTTAGGCCTACGGTATTTATTCATTAATTTCATTTTAATATTATAATCACTTTATTCATTTATTCACCTTAGTTATTCATTAAAGTTTATTTAATGAAAATACAACTATTCATTGTCAGTTCATGTTAGGTCAAGTCCATTAAATAATATGAACAGATATATATATTTATAACTTCTCATTTAATAATGTATTTAACAATTAACATTAACTAAGATTGAAAACATGCTTTAGATTTTTTTAGTTCTGTGTCATTTCTAATTACTATTCTATGCGTAAATACTAATGTAATTAATTAATGTTAATAAATAGAACCTTATTATAAAGTGTTACCAACTTATCTATTACGAGGACATTAATATTAAAGGACTAAACTAAACATGCTGTGAGCATGCTGTGAAAATATCAAGAAATAATTTAATTTAATATAATTGATTTTTTTTCCCTTTCTGTCTCTTTCCAGGATTGCGACATACCATTTTCTGTTTGATGCTGATAGGTGACATCATATCCTTGTGCAAGCAAACAGGAAAATGCTTTTGCGTGCTTAAACAGGGGATTTACCACTTCCTCCTCTGATACCTTTTACTTTCCGGTGAAGCGAAAGGCAGAACTGTGTTCAGATCAGCTTCGATTATTCTCCGTGGTCTGACAAGACCTAAAAGGAGAACTAAAACGTACTTATCCGATAGTCTTGGTTTGACTTGTTTAGGCCTAGTTTAAAGTTTACACAGTCCAGATCCAAAAGAATGGGGAGTACAAATGCCAGTGTCTGTGTGGTCAACGACAACATGGTGCCCTTCGCCACAGTCTACATCCTCATCTTTCTGTTTGGAATGGCTGCCAGCCTGGTGGCGCTGTGGGCTTTCATAACCAGCCGAAGTGCTAAAAAGTGCATTAATGTTTTTCTCATCAATCTTCTGACGTCCGACTTCCTCCTCATGTTGGCGTTACCTGTCAAGATTGCCAAAGATCTGGGCAACGGTTCGAAGAGTTTGATCATCTTTCACTGCCAAGTGAGTGCGCCGCTCATCTACATCAACATGTACGCGTCTATCATCTTTCTAGCTTTCGTTAGCGTGCAGCGCTACCTCCAGATCACCCGCAGCTCCAAACTGCTGCGACTGCAGGAAGTGGGCTTTGCGGTGCTGATGTCTTTGGTGGTCTGGCTCCTCGTGCTCTTCATCAACGTGCCCAACATGGCCATCCCTATCAAAGAAAACATTGAAGACAAAGTTGGGCTAACATGTTCGGATTTAAAAGATGATTTGGGCAAGCACTGGCACGCTTTGTCTGTGTTTCTGGGCATGGCCATCTTCTTCAACTCCTCGGTAGCGGTGCTGTTGTCCAACGGCCTGGTGCTGAAGCGGCTCTGGGGTCGGCGTGAATCTGACCCCGAGGAACAGGCTAGTGCCCAACATGCCTTCATAAACATCGCATTGGTGACCTTGGCATACGTGGTGTGCTTCGTGCCATACCACATTGTGCGTATGCCGTACACTTTTACTCAGATAAAGGTCATCACCGAATGCACATTAAGGAAGAGTCTCTTCCTGGCTAAAGAGTCGACTCTGCTTCTCGCCATCCTGCACCTGTGCTTTGACCCAGTGCTGTACTTTGTCATCTGCCGTGCATTCAGGAATCAGATCACGAAGGCCTTCTCAAAGAGAGGCAGCGTTCCAACCACAGACACAGAGTGAAAATTCACTTGGAGGAGAGTTATGGACCAAGTACCAGTGCAAAGTCATTTGCTGAATGTCAATGTAGGGTCAAGAAAGAGAGAAACTGGGGATCGGTAATGTAGGAAATTCTAGTTCATAAACATTTTGGAGCAAAATATGTACATATG